GGTGATAGTCACGAACCAGCTCCGGTGCCGGTAGCTCTTTCATCTGGCCTTTGATACGCCGCACTACAATAAAAAAGCACAATAGTGAGCAATGATACATATATATAAACACACAGGCTTACTTACTGACACTGACTGTTTCTCTGCTGCCACCACTGCTCAGCATGTGGACGGGATTGCGGTCCATCCACATTGCTGCGGTTATCTGCGGAAAAAGCTTATTTCAGCCAGCTTGATTGTCCCCTGTGGTGGTACTAGCTCTCTCACACCATTCACGGTTCTGTAAGACTTGTCAGTCTTCACATCCTTCGCGTACCCTGCCATACGCGTCTGGATCGTACCCGTAATGTACATCCGTCGCTGCAACAGCTCCAACGCCAGCTTCACCGACGTGTAAAACCGGTCTGTGATTACCAAACGCCACGGGGAGGTCGGTGATGGCGGGCACAGCGCGTTCATGTTCCTTAGTACGGCAGCCTCGCCGCAATTATTATCAGCAGGAATCGGAGTCCGGAGATTACTCTTAGCACCACAGTACACCTCGAATCTGAACAGTCGCACAAACGCACACGATATTAGTAAAAGTAATAAATATGTTGGATTAGGAAATTCTCCACAATGTGGATGTTTGCCCGTCCAACATAAGCACTTAGACCAAAAAAAAGGTAAGCATTAGCTTGCCACCTTGAACGCACCTCATGCAATAAGCTGTATCTGCACACGCTGCCACGAACACCTTGGTCCCCCACTTGTGCGGTTTGTCCTTGTTGAACTGTCTGGTAGGATTGTAGCGGGATCTTGAAGGCAGCGTAGCTTCGTCAAAGCTAATGACAGGAGGAATCTTGTAGCCGCGCGCAAATGTACGCTGTAAGACCTCGATAACCGGCCGAATCTTCCATACACGATCCGTGCTAGCTTGAGGCGACTTGTTGTTGGAGAAGTGCAAGTATCCCATTATGTGGAAGAACCGGTTGCGGGACATGTACTTGCCGAAGCGTGGCGTTGGCAACGCACCAGCCGGTGTCAACTCCCAGTGAGCAGCTATCCCCTTTCGCACTGGAGACAGCATCCTTGCAATGAGAAGCGCGATGACGCGCAAAACCTCCCACGGTTCTATCGGCTTCACACGTGCTAGTCGCCGACGAATATCTGCGAGGTTCTCTACTTCTCCACCACCACGACGCTGCTTCGCTTGAATCGCCTGCGCACGACCCGGTATCGACTGCGTGTGGTAGCGATTGCTCTCGACGGCAATCTGTCTCCACAATTTTGGCGGTAGGTAGTAGAAGAACAGCGCCAGTGGGTCTTCAGCCACTCCAAGGACGCTCTCAGATGGTCCATAAGACCCGTCGTAAAGGTCTTCATACGTAGGATCGTCTCCAAATTTGGACTGGTCTACAAATAGCACATCAAAGTGAGTTAGATAATGTTAACATTATGTTAGACAACGACGGAATAATAGTTGCGTATGTTGGATAGCGTTCAACATAACTTACCAAACTCCCAGCCCGAATGTTTCATCTCCGCCAAACGCGCCGCATTCATCGCCACCGACTTGCAGAACGTGTCCGGTAGTTCAGTTCCAACGCAATCGGCTAACTCCTCATCAGAGAGTTCTCCAAGCTCCCAATCTCCTTCCCACTCACTGTCCGCGTCGTCATCGTCTGAATCAGGACCAGATTCCTCTTCTGATCCGAGGCCAGTGCACTCACGTGCACCAGCCGCCATGATGTTAGGATCACCGTCGACTACGCAGGCGACAGGGAGATGCGGGGCAGCTGACGCAGCACCGGTGTCTGTGGTGTCACTTATGGTGCCTTCAGCTTGAGCTTCGCGTTCTGGACTGTCTTGTAGGACGCGGCGGCGTCGTTTCGGGGATCTTTGCGTAACCGGCGCCTGCTTGTTCGTCCGAGGGTGGCGCAAGGTCTCCACAGCGCCTTGAGCATCTCGCACAGGCGTTAGAAGCGCACTTGAAGCCACAGTTGAAGCCACAGCCATCACCACGTCTGCTACAACTTCCTCCACCTCTGGTTCCACAGAATCTTCCTCATTTTCTGCAACAGGTATTACCTCTTTAGCTTCGTCCGTACTCGCTGTTGCTTCTGTCTCTTTGGGTGCTGCCGGCTCAATATGTGGACCTCTAGACTCTGCTATCTCCATGGCTGTCGTCGTAAGTTTCACCGCCCTCTTCCTAGACTGCTTCTTCAACGCACGCCCCTCAGCGCCATGCTTTGGCTCTGCTGCTGACTGCCTCTCGTCGTCTCGACGAAGGCGACGCTTGTGGCGGTCACTGAGGGCTGCCTTGCACAACCGGTTCTCTTCCGCTGTCAGCGTCCGTCGTGGCATCTTGCCAGACGTCGCCACCATTCTGGTCTGCTGCCCCCGCGGTCGTTTTGAAGTATGAGAGAGTTTTGTGACTGTCGGCCACCCGTTGGTGGTGGGTGACACCGCCTCTCTTTATCTCGTTCAATCAGGAATCCGGTCCAGCTACCCTAAGCCTGTGCATCCGGCCGTTTTAGGCTCCCACTTTTGTCTTGACTTCAGTATTGAGCTTTCCTGCGCTCTCTTGAGATCTGTTCAATACAAACTCCAAGTCAGTTTTTCTCTTATGTTTAGCCGCTAAACATAACATAGATGCCGAAAAAAACTGAAAGAAGCTATACACCTCTTATGTTTAGCGGCTAAACATACGGGAACTAAGGGGTTAATCGCCCACAGAAACTCAGCTCGTACAAATTTTCTAGTCAGCCAAAATGACACACGTTTTATTTATATAGGTTTTTGTATTGAGCCGATGGTGGCCGTAAATTGTGACCACCTTTACAAATATCCTTTTTTTCTATGTGATCCTCCCTTTAAAGTGCAAAAAACGCGAGCGTTAGCACAGCCTTGCTATTTCGAAGCATTTTTGCAACTTGTGTGAAAACCGCACCGTCAAATAATAAAAATTGACTAAGATATGGGCACTCGACGAGGTGGCCGTATAATTGTGGTCAGGAGTGTAGTACTGTAGGCAGGGGCTGGCAGTAGCGGAATTTTCCTTCAAGTTACTGCCAGTACTTTCCAGTAAAACAATACAAATTAGTGGCAGTAACAGTAAATCAGTTCAATCCTTCTTAGTTACTGTAGAAATAGAGCTATAGTACTGGCGAGCTACTGGCTTACGACCAGCTACGCAGATCGTGTGTGGTCCACACTATCTAACCCTTGACTGTAGACACTCGCCACTTACATCCGACGGATCTCACTTCGGTTGTGCCTTATAAGCACCTGCATCTCAGCACGACGGTTGTCCGTTCTGGTGCGAAGAGAGCCCATGCGAAGGCCCCAGTCGAAAACACGCGCTCCTGGTACGCGTTTGACGGACTCCGTCCGAGCCACACCCGAGCAAGTGCAGCAAACAACGGTGAGCCCGTCTCACGAAACCACTTGCAGACGTCCACGTGCTTGCAGAGTCCTTGTAGACACCAGCACACTCTGTCTCGACGTCGTACGAGGAGCAGTCGGGTGAAGTCCTCTGCGGTGAGCTTGCTGTCTGGAGCCTGGTCGACGACGACGCGGACCCATTGCACAGTGTCCTTCAGCCACTTGCACAGGACTTCGTCGGTCTATTCGTGAAGGGCGGACACTGGCGAGCTTTTCATAGCCGAGGCTACCATGGTGGCGCCATACATGATCAAATCGTCCTCAACGGGCGGCACTAAATCCAGGTTCGGTGGTATTTCCACATCCGTGCTGTTTGTTGGCTCCCGAATCGGAGGTGTGCATCGCACAGAAGACTTCTCGGTGTGCGCTGCGTAGGAGAGCCTTCTCTTCCTCCATAACAGCGTCGATTGTCACGGTGCTACTCTCAGCGGGAAGAGGCAACGTAAGGCTCTCGTCAGTGTCCGTGACTCTCTTCTCCTGGAAGATCGGTTGAATCGGGCTATCCACTATGTACTTCGTGCGGGGGTCCAGAAGCAGTATCACCACCGATTCCGCCGTGATTGTCGGCAGCTTCTTGGTAATCTACCCCTTTACCCTTTTCAGACAGGCTTGGCCTTCTTTGGAGAAGGCACTGATGTGGACCTCTCGACGCGAAAGCGACTGTTCGACGTGATCGCCTCCATCTCAATCAGCAGTCTCCAGGCGACGTTTTTGAACTTGTTGAACACCTGTGAGTCGCCGTACGACTCACAGTACTGGAAGTAGGCTCTGGAAGCCGGAAGGTTCATGATGGAGCAGGATCACCGACGACGCAACACGAGTATCACAGTCCACCATTGGGCTAAACTCCGGAAGACCGTAGGAGCGCTGCCCTTTCGTAAGACGATCGACTATCTGAGACGTATTGAAGTAGTTGTTGAGGCTTCTGACCTTTCGAATCAGCGCAGCACCTTTTGGGAATGGGCCACCCACCGTGCACACTCTGCGCTCTTTCTTCTGCAGGCTGGTCTCGGGGTCCACCACGTACACCGTCTCAGTATTCTCTCGTGCCTATGCCGTACAAGAGACATAGGTTTAGAACGTGCACTGCACAGTCGGTAGGCGTGGAGTCCTCAAACAAGTTCGAGACTTTCTTGACGCTCGACGTCACGTCGGACATGGTGAACGGAGCCATCTCCTCGATGGCAATGTCGTAGAACTTATCAATCCTGGACGTGATCAGAGTCTTCACCTTGCATCACTCGTGCGAGCCGTTGTGCACAGTCGCTAGCAGCGCAAGACTGCAAAAAAAACAATTCCGCGTGATGAAGGGGACCGATGTACCCACCACATCTTTCTTGCCGCTGCCAGTAGTACATGAGTCATGCAGCACGCTCAGGAAGGGCAAGTCGAACGCAGCCTTAAACTCGTCCTTCAACATCTTCGCCGCCATCGTGCATAACCACTTAAATAAAGCCTCGATCAATTTGCAGTAAGTCCCAGACGAGAGAATAGTGGCGCCCGCGTTACCCGTGAGTAGATGAACGAGGTTTCGAAAGTCATCCGTCACAACCGTGTTGTACAGCACGCCTGAAGCATCACAGATAGATATTGTTAGTGCATCTTGTCACATAACTAAAAACAAGTAGCTTACCGTCCTTGATCAGCCAGCGCGCAATGTGCACATTGAGCTCCTTTTGGGTTGGGCTTCACCGTTTCTGTAGAGCTCCGCGCTTGGTCATCTTCGACTCAGGGGGTGGCATGTCCGTGATGCGTTGTGACGGACATCTAGAGACATTGCTCAGCGCCGAGTCAATTTGGCGACGAGCCCACTTGGTGCGCTTCGCCATCTCCTCCTTGCCTACCCGGTGCGTGCTGTGCATGGCGACCATGTGATCCTTGGCGTTAGACGTATGGCTCCAGCGTCGGTGCCCTCACTGCCATGAGTCAGCTGCAGCGTTAGGCTGACTGGTTGCATTCGCCGTGCACAAGACACAGATGTGCGTGAACCTATCGGCGTCGCCAAAATGTGCGCAACGTCCCACACGCTGTCCCTCTTGCCGACATGACGGTAGTGGTGGACGTCAAGCGGGATTCCATATGAATGCGTCCACACTTGGCTTCCAGGTGGAGTGGTCTCCTCCGACGACTGGCTGCAGGAAAGCTCCAGTGTACCGCTCTCGGTGATCGAGGACTGACTGTTCTGCTGGTGAGGCGCGCCCGGCGACCAGCCCGCAGCGTCGAAAGCGTCTAACTGATCTTTCGTGGAAGGCATCACTTCAGGTGGCGGGTTCTTGGTCTTCCACGCAGCAACACACGCGTCACTGCAGAAACTTTTGTAGCACATAGCAAATTAGTAACCAATTAGCAATATAACTTTCAGTGTAACTCACCGCACGGATCTGTGGCCTGAGTCGTGCAGGTCAGTAGAGCACAGGTGATGGACCTCTCTGTCGCATACAGAGCACGGGTCCGTTTGAGACAACTCAGGGTTGACACAGTTGATGAAAGCACACTTCTTCGTAGGTTGAGGTGGTAGTCGTCGATATTGTCTACTGCTGGGCCTGCAAAGAAAATTGCGAAGTGGTTTAGCAACGTGCCTTCCACGGATTGAGGCAGACAGCCTTTAAAGAGCAACCGTAGCTCAAAGCAGCAATAGAGGAGCTTGCCCACGGCCTTAAACCGACCTCATGTTCTGCATCTAGCAACCATCGCCCAATCGTGCGATGAAGAGGGCGAGAAGTGAGAGGGATAGCGTGCCGAGTAGTGAGCAAGCCGTCTTGCGTCCTATTCACGATCCATAGCGGTGGTCAAAATGGAGGATTGTCAGGTGCCCGTCTGGATTTCGGTATTAACTCGACAGTCTGTAACCTGGGCTACTGGTTACTAAAGTAACAATAGAATCAGATTTGACATTAGTACTGGCTACTTTAGTAATAGTAATATAGTACTATCTAGTACTGGCGCGCAGGAAAACACTTCACTTGTAGTACAAGTCAAGTACAAGTTGTACTGGTATAAGGTTAACAATGGGACAAATCAGAAGCTTTAAAAAAATGGATACATGCAACTCTTAATTGTATTAATTTAAAACATACTGTACGCCGAGTATCAGCATACCGTAAGCGTCAATACCGTAATCACAAATAGTCCTTCCGAGTTTTGAACAGCCTAAAGCTCAAGCATGCGTTGCGCAGATTCTGGTGCAGCATCGGAGGCCTAGATCGGCGATATGCGACGCCTTCTATCCGCGCAGGGATCTTGCCAGGATTCCTGGATCCAAAATGTCGACGGGATTGGGCGCTGTTACAGTAATACATGTACATGTATTAGAATCCAATCATGGCTGACAACTAAAGCCTTTTTTTGCTAGTTTGAGCGGACTTAACTGCAGCATAGATACACCTACCCCGCTACATTAACCGGTATTAACCTCGTAAACGGTACCAAAAATCAGAGTAAAAGGTTATATTTATTAAGAAAACACTTCCGAGCACATTTTTAATAGACCAAAATATCATCCAGTTTTAGAGTTTTCTGATGTTGTCAGTATCGACTTTGACGGATAATGCAAAGGTCAACTTGGCAACGTCTCGTGCTCTCACAATCGAAAACCTGACGAAAACGGCAGCAGCAACACAGACAGCATCGAGCACCGTCGCCGACCGCGGATCCTGCAAGGATACAAGGCAGTGAGCGACTGTGCGTGTCCTCGAAGCCGTGCATCCCCTCTAGGTAGCAGATCGCATATTTAAACAGTAAAGCGTAAGCTCTGACAGATCCAGCACATTCAGTTGAGACAATGCCGCTCTATCGTCGTGGTCCATGCTTTGGCTTCTCCGGACCCGCGCGGCTAGACATCGATGGAAGCAGCTCGTGGCCAGTCGACTCAGCGCACTCCATGGAGCTGGACCTACGGCTCTTCTCAGCCTACTTCTTGGTGGCCGAGCCTCTAGCCACCTTCGTGGGCTACCGAATCGCGCAACACTGTTTGCGCGGCTGTCGGGTGTACTTCCTTTCGCCGTCGCAGCGAATGTGGATTGGCTTTTTCTACTGTTGGCTCAAGATTCGACTGGTACGGTTAATAGATACATGTATCGATTGAAGAGGTGATGCTAACGCACAGGCTGGATTGTTCGTTGCAGATCGACTACGCGTTCCACGGCACGGCGTACTACACGATGTCGCTGCTCATTATGGTTGTGTATTTTGTGTACGCGCTACTGGCTTTCGGTTTCCACTTCGGCCCATTGCAGTTCCTCTTTTTCGACTACATCCCACGCAGCAAGATGACGCAGAGTTTGATCTACAAAATGGCGCTTCTCTGCAAGGAAGTCTCAGCACGCATTGAATTTTACGTGTTGCAGCAGCTCATCTGCCGTCCACCACTAGAAACGCGTGACAGAAACGCTATGACCTCGTCACCAATTGCCACACGCCCGTTGGAGCCTCTGACCTCGTGCTCGCACAAGGCTGTTGATTTCTCTCGAGTCACGTCTTTCTTCGGACGGGAGGTGGATGTCAGCATCGAGCTCTGGAACAGCTCCATGTGTCAACAGTGGGCCATGACACTGAGCTCCGCCGCTCGATCTAATGCATCCCGTGTTCGTAGCAAGTACGGAGACGCTACGGCTCTTACGGATAGCTCCTTCGAGTGCCGCTTCATGTTCGTCATGCAGCACGATGGCTTGTTACTAGGTTTCTTCATGACAACACCTACAGCGACGCTTATGGCCAAGTTCAAGGACGGGAAGGCGATGCCATTTGAGCTGGTGCAACGTTTTAACTGCAGTTGTCGTTCGGTGATAGCAACTACAGCACCAATCTTCCTGTACGCTGAGAGTGCAAAGTTGGTGGGAAGAGCAACTGTGGCGCAGAAGAATGCCGTCTATCGTCTGCTACTACAACTCAACAGTGTTCATGGTAACACTGCCGATGTGTCTCTACGTGCTCTACGCGCTAAGAACTTCGTGGATGCTGGAGTTGGCCAAGTGGTGAAGAGGAAATCACGCGTCACGGGTTCATTCAGCGTCTTGGATGGGCACTAAACGCTTGCTGGGCATCATTACGCTCGGATTTATTTATTTAGATTATTATCCCTGCATCTCACAATTATGAAGGCGTACATCAACTACCTTCTCTTTGGTTCATTGTGTACACTTAGCAGCGATTGCTGCGATATCTACAGTACTTAGCAGAACTGTGGTGGAGGTGGCACAGTGGGCACCATACCCAACGTAAACTCTGCTAGCTGGAACTGCTCTACGTTCCACGCGTCGTCGCGAGAATCAGGCGAAGGGCCAACGATTTTCGGTGCTGGCGGGGGAGGTATCGGTGTCATTGTGGTGGTCGACGTCGACGATGAACTACTCGCTGCTGGGTGTGCAAATCCTCCAAACCCACTAGTGGCGCTTGTTGAAGTCACAGGAGCACCGAACGGACTACTCGATGGTGCCACGGATGCCCCAAATGGAGATGAGGTGGTAGTGCTGGAAGATGAGGACGCACTAAATGGAGCAGTGCTATTAGCGGGCGTACCGAAGCCTGATGAAGATCCACCGAATGTTGTCGCCGTGGAACTATTCGTTGATGTTGCGCCAGCGAAAGGGTTGGCGCTACCTGTTGTCGTTCCTGACGAGCCGCCGAAAGGTGAGCTTGAAGGCGCTTCAAACGCTGAGGATGCTGGAACGGCACCACCTCCAAACGGTGAGGATGTTGGTGTCGCTGCGCCAGCACCAAAAGGCGAGGACGTCGGTTTTGCTCCACCTCCACCGAATCCTCCTAACGGCGAAGCTGTAGACGACGCACCTCCACCAAACGGAGAAGATGATGGAGCCGCGGTGGCCCCTCCAAAGGCAGTCGTAGAAAAGGCCCCGAACGGACTCGCAGCAGGCGTAGCTGGCTTACCGAATGGAGATGCAGACGTAGCAGCAGTGTTTCCTCCAAACGGATTAGCCGCAGCACCACCGCCAAAAGTTGACCCTCCTCCCGACCCTAGCATTGATGGAGCACCAAACGCTGTTGTCGATCCTCCTCCAAATGGGCTAGCAGCGGCTCCACTAAATGCTGTGTTTCCGCCTCCACGAAATGGGCTTGCTGACGGAGCAGCACCTCCTCCAAACGGTGATGCTGCTAGAGTCGCCGCCCCAAATGGACTTGCAGCGGCTCCTCCTCCGAACGGGTTCGTAGCTCCACCCTGCACGACAGAAACCCCTGATCCAGGCAGTGGCTCACCAGCAAACAGCTTCTGCGCAGACTGGTGGTTCTCCAGAAGCGACACGATTCGTTGTCGATGGTTCTGCTGCTCTGCCGCCAGTGTCTGCAGCTTCTGTGTGGACTGCATACAATTGCCCGACGTCTTTAGCTCTTGATAAGCTTCCCACCGTGCTTCTTCAGCACTTACATCGCCTCCAACAACACTGGGCAGCTTCAAACACATAATCCCACATAATTAATAAAAATATGACTTGAATTCGACATTTTTGTTTAAATAAAAACGTACGCCTTTCGCAACTGCGAAGCCTGAGAGAGGCCAGATTGGTGGGGCCTTAAGCTCCTCAATTGCCAGCGCACGCCCGGACTCCGTCATTGTCACGCCTTGAGTACTCGACGTCGAGTTGCCATTGTTCCCGAACGGAGACTGCGACTGTGAGCCAAAGCCACCGCTACTCCCGTTGTTACGGTTACCATTGCTGCCAAAAGCATCGTGTGAGAAGCGACAATTGTTGCCGTTGCGGCATGTGCCTTGGAGGAAGAACTTGCACGGCTTCACGTAGCCGCCTGGTCGCCCCATTATTACCACCGGTCAAGTCTATTTTTAAAGATTAAATACAAGTGTCTGATTTGTTGAAAACGGCTCTTTCATAATCCGTCCAACCACCGATGGTTGCATGGAAAAATCTGATGCAATTCTTCAAAGTCTAACAGTCCTGATTCCGGTATCTAATGGGGCAGAAGGAGGTGACGATCGGGGGCTTGCTGGTGCTGGCGTCGGTGGCCACGACGTTTGTGTACGAGTCTGCACTTGTGCGAAGTGTCAAGAGCTTCGAGGAAGGCAGATCCGTTGTGGTTTCGCTGGCCAATCCGCAAGGTTTGGCGAAAAATGAGGATCAACTCATTCATTTTTCGGGTTTGATCACCACCACAGCTTCAAATGGTATGTCTCGATGGAATAAAATTGATACAGACGGACTGCCGCTCCGACAAAGCCCTTTTGTGTTGGATCCAGTATTCGGTATTGCAGCGAAGGGCGTGAGACTGCATCGCCATGTGGAAATGCTGCAATGGGTGGAGACATCGCACACGTCGACGAGTAGCACACCTGAAGATGAGGACCGCCGGTTTGACGATGATCGCGAGCGAATTTACATGTACGACCTGAGGTGGAGAAAAGAGGAGATTGATAGCAGTGCGTTCAATGATATTAGCTACCGGAACCCTCCGTCGGAAGCTTGGGTATACAAGTCGCGGGTGGTCAACGCGAAAGACCTCGTGGTGGGGGAGTTTTCGCTGCCCGACGATCTGGTGGATCAGATTCAACGTCGAGATGGTGTGCACTTGGATACTGCGAGTCGTCGGGTGATGGCGAACTTACTGGATCAACGACTAGGAGGAGCATGGGAAGCCGGGAGTGCGCTTGCTAATGTCACAATGGAGGATAACATTTTCTACTTTCGGAACGAGATGAGAGAACCGGTTCTTGGAGACCTACGTGTGTTTTTCGAAGTGACACCCAACTACCCCGTGACAGTGTGTGCGAAGCAGAATGGGAATGAGTTAATGCCATTCAGGAGTTCCACTGGGGAATCGATTTTTCTGTTGGAAGACGGCATCATGACTGCGGACGAGCTCTTTGACAAGAAGACGCATGCAGAGGTGTGTACTAACGTATTGCTCATGTTGCTAGTTCAGTCTTACTTTTTCTTCAAGTATTTATGATAACTTAAACCTTATTTCCTGCTTTGAAGGTGCGCAAAAACCGCTTCTTCCGGCTGTTCGCGGCTGTGCTGGGCTTCATGGGTTTTCTAGTTCTGCGCAAGCCCCTGATCGAGCGCTTTGGACCGCTCGCGGCTGGTATTCAGCAGCATTTGCTGGCAGCCACTATGAGCGTTGCACTTACGTTCTCAATTGTTGGACTTAACTGGGTTCTGTACAGGTGAGTTGGGAGTCTCCGAATTCTTCACTGCTAACACAAACTGATATCTGTTTTGATATACCTTACAGACCACTTTGGGCGCTCGTGCTGTGGTTCGGTGGCTGGGCCCCTCCGCTTGGCCTCTTTTTCTTCTTCCGCTCCAAGCACGACTTAAAAAATCAATGAAAGGCCAAATTTTGGTACAAACCTTTTGAATACCGGTATTTACACGAACCAATCAGAACATCGCAATACCAACTCCAATCGTTTCCGGAGCAGTTGGCTGTCAACGCCATCACTTCCGCTTCCTGCTCTTCTCCACAGTGGACCACAGACGCGAAACTCATGGAGGTGGACTCGATGACAGGCCAGGATATGGTCATCAACGCGCAGACAATCGCGCAACAGGCGCAGGAATCCGCCGAGCAGATGGACGTGGGGCCCGAGGACGACATGGTGCGCCCCAACTTCCCGGCTCTCAGCGCGCAGCAGCAGTCCGGAGGCAAGAACGATTTCCGTCGAGTGCGCGTGCCGGCGCACCGCTACACTCCGCTTAAGAACGACTGGCCCAACATCATGAAGCCCATCGTGGAGCACCTCAAGCTACAGATCCGCATGAACACCAAGACGCGTTGCATTGAGCTTAAGAACTCGCCGCACACAACGGACTCTGGTGCGCTTCAGAAGGCTGCTGATTTTGTGCAAGCGTACATGATGGGCTTCGAGGTGCAGGATGCTGTGGCGCTGCTGCGTCTAGAGGACCTTTTCATTGACACGTTCGAGGTGAATGATGTCAAGATGCTCAAGGGTGACCACTTGAGCCGCGCTATCGGTCGTGTGGCTGGACAGGACGGCAAGACCAAGTATGCCGTGGAGAACGCCACTCGTACGCGTATCGTACTGGCCGACCAGAAGATTCACATCCTTGGCTCATTTGCCAACATTAAGCTTGCGCGTGACGCCATTTGCTCGCTCATCATGGGCGCGCCACCCGGCAAGGTGTACAACAAGATGCGCAATGTAGCTAGTAGAATGAACGAGCGTTTTTAAAATTCACAAGACGAGATTTCCGGATGCGAACGCGGTGAGTTTGGCATGGAACCACGGGGAGAGGTGGGCAGAGTTTGCAGTTTTTGCTGCAAACTTGCTCAAGGGTGTCCCCACTTAAATATATTCATTTTGGTTTTGTCTTTTCCGGTATCAAACCGTTCGTCTACGTGCTGATGTGCCGTTCTGTGCCAGAACCAGCTCGGGGTTTACGCTCCACAAGCGTTCTATTGTACTCTTTGGTGGTGTCCGTCGAGTCACTTGAACTGCATTCAGTCATACTGGGAAGACGTGATGTGCCAAGAATTTGCCATCAGCAACTACGCGCGATACCGTCGCTTATTGCCCTGATTGGCGTCCAAAATTCGGTGCAACTCCCCTGTAATCGGCTCAATTCTCTTGTCGGCTTCGAAGCAGTCAAACATTTCCAGGCCCACGCCAGGCATTTCACTGTAAAAAGCCAAAATCTGCAAACAGCCACGTCAACATGTCAGCATCGCCTTCATTTCACAACATCCGCCTTTCAACGCACCATGTGAGCAGAGCCATAGCAGGAAAACATGCCCTGTGCGCCTCTGACATGCACCACCTGCGGGTCAATCTGGTTTAACGTCGCCGCTACATCAAAAGAAAAGCGCACATTATCAGTCTTCCTGATTAACCGTCAAGCTCCAATGCTGCGTACCGAACTGCAGTGCGGCATCCTTGAGATTGATAATCGTGCGTGTAAACTCGTCCGTGTTCACCTCCGTTGTCTCCGATTGCGCTCTACGCCAGCCAGTCAAAAACGCAGTCAGTCTCCACTTTCTGAGCTCCTCAAACATCGTTAAGTAACGCACATCATGTCTCCTGTGTCACCATCCAATAAACAAACGTAGCTGGTACCCGGGTACACGGTCTTAATGCGTTCAAACTGTTCCTGGAAGAGCATCCGTCTCTGCAGGTCTCCGCGTCTTCGCGACAAGCAGCGACACCACAGACTCATGCGCGTCTCCGTCAGGAGAGAAAAGCACAGAGCGACGAGAGGCTGGAAATCGCCCCGCGTCACGCAGCACTCGTCTTAGTCTCTCTACCCGACTTCCTCGTCTGCTTCCAAGAGGCCCCAACGCCAATTATGGGTTCGTCGAATCGCGAGATGGGATCGAAAATTTTCAGAACACCTACAAGCATCTTCAACAGGTGCTTCTACATGACTTTTATTAGGACTACTATATATGACGGTGCTATTTAAACCATGAAAGACAAGTTCCCGAACAAAACCCTGAAGGCTATTAGATCTCGGACAAGGCTTTGAAACTAGTCACTCTTCGGAAGTGTGACATCCCAGTAGCTCCATAAGTCAATCGTTGCTGCAAGACTTCGAAGTAGTCGTTAATTTAGAAACAAATGATTCGTTGCGCCACACCAACAGGCATGTTCAGTGTGAAGGTGACTCACGTTGATGGGGCTCGCATACAGCTTGGACTATCGTATCGCGCGGTCTCTGTTGAAAGACAACTTGAATACGAGCTCGTGATTGCAAGGCTCACATAGCAGCATTGCCAGCGATTCTACATGTACGAATCAACGGCATCCAGCCCGCTGCGTCCATCAATATCACCAAAAGCATAGCAATTTGAGACCCCGACACTGCGAAACCGACAAGATTCAGGTTAATCTCCTGTTTTATTCCAACCTAGATCCTCGTTTTTTTCCACTTGGAAGACGTTCCCGAAGTATCTGTCTTGGCTTTATTGACCTTGTTCTGCTGTTTGTTCTGCCGCTTCTTCATCTTGACAGCGTCCCGCCGTTTGCGCTTGTAATCAAGTGTCAGTTTCTTCCGCCGTTCGGGCCAATCTGCTACCTCTTCGCCACTGACAAAAGTCTTCCCAAAAACTAAAAAGTCCTCCAGACTCTTCTTGGCGCGTTTCTTGGCCAGTTCAGCCTTAATCTCGCCTTCGTCTTCAATGTCATCGCCAGCCTCGCTATCCGTAGCCATAGCCTCATCGTCGTGGTCTTCTGTGTGGTGGAAACCTTGCGAGAAGGCCCAGTCTCCTGTACGTGATGCAGGTTCCTCCTGCTCGTCTTCAAGCAGTTGTTCACCCATAGCCGCAAGCGGTTTATCCTCACCAACCGGGAAAGAGAAGAGCGAACTCAACTTGAACGAAGCTTCTGCATTGGTCTCAGTAGCGGGTGCACCAAAGCCAAACACACCGTCAAGTGCAGCTTCGCCTTCTTCACCATCTTCCGAGTTTTTACGTACGCGAGAGAAAAGATTGCTCAGATCTCCAGCAGTCGAGAAGAATCGATCTCCACCCGTCACGATCTCCTTCTCTTCGCGTTTGAGTGGCGCAGTAGCTTCTTCTTCTGTTTGTACGCCAGAAGAAGTTGTTGTCATGGGGATCTCAAACTCGCGACACGCGTGGGTGTCACGTGGGTCGTAGCGCTTAAGTTCTCCCATCCAGGCGGCCTCCTTCAATGGATCCTTTGGAGTGCGCTGTTCCTGCATTCTCCGCTGCAAACGAGTCACATCCACGTCAGGAAACAGCTTGGACACCACGCGCAACGCAGCCTCCTCCTCCTCGCGCATTTCACGCGCATGACGAGCAGCTTCTTCGACGTTCTCCTCGTCCAGGAAGTTTTGAAGCTCGGCGATCGCCTCCTCATCTATCGCCTGCTCCTCCTCGTCCACTTCGTTGCCGCCATATTCGTCCGCCCCCTCGCCTTCCAAGAAACGCGCATCCAGACGGAAACGCGAGTCGCCTCCAAAGCGCTTCTGCATCTCGAACAGCTTTTTTCCTTTCTCACCGACAAACTCAGGACGCAGCGCAAACGCTGCCTGTGCTTTGACGTCAGCATCTTCCGTAAAGTCGAATGTTTTGCGTGCTCCACGCTCGCCTTCGTCACCCGCTTCATCGTCACTAGACTCCATCCAGTTCGAAATCACTCCGTCATGTTCCTCCAGTTCCTCGGGCTCCTGCTCATTGCCACTGTCATCAAACGTGATCTTCTTGTTGCCCACCGCCTCGCCAATAGGTGGGATCGCCACCTGCTCCTCTTTTTTCTGCTGCCGTTTGGTTTCCAGTGCCGCCAAGCGACGAGCATTCGCCTCCTCCTTCGTCAACGGCTTCTTCTCCTGTTCACTCTCCTCCATCTCATTCTCCTCCTCCATCTGCCTCACGAAAGCCTCCACGTCGTCCTCTCCAAGCACATCCTCCGCTCCTACGTCCTCCTCGGACTCACTCTCCACAGCTGCGACATCCTCTTCCAATTCACTCTCCTCAGCTTCACTTTCATCGTCGTTCTCCTCCTCGGACGTCTCTGTATCCGTCGCCACCTGCTTGTTTATCGGTTCCACATCCTCAACCTGTTCCACTACTTCGTCCACCTCAGGGAATCTCGTCTTCTTCCTGCCTTTAAACTTGACCGCCAGCTTCAATGGCTGCAGCTCTTCGGTTGGTGTGTTGATCTGTTGCTGCTGCTCTCTGTGGCTGCCCTCCGCCTGCTTCTTCTTATGTTCTTCCTGCTCCCACTCCTGCTGCAGTTTCAGTTGAAAATGAGGCTTAGCCAGCTGAACCTTAAGCACGGATCCACGCCACTTGGTGCGGTTAAACGTCTTCTGAAGCTTCTCGCTTTGTGACTCGGCGTCCGTGCCCTGCAGAGTCAGATATGCGAAGCCACGTGAAGTCCTGGGCGGCGGCACAAAAGTCCCCATTAATTTGGGTTTGGGGAGCTCCACGTCCGCCAGTCGGCAGTCTGCTGCATTGCTAACAAAACGGCCGAAACGTTCACGCAGCTCCTGGTTCTTGGCGTCCGCGGGCAGGCCACCCACGTACACACGTACGGTAGTCTCCATCAACCTTTTTATTGACTGGTTGGCCAGCAATTTTTATTGTCATTTTTCTTGCTGTCAATTTCTAATGAAATATGGATTGGTTGACAAAATTCTGAAGGTTTTGCCCGAACTTAAGCGCAAAAAAAGTTTTCAAACTCTTGCCATAACATTTCATTCGTGTTGAAGTTCTCAAAGCAAGCGCTCCATAAGTCTATCACACGCAAACTCGCTACGACTTCAGCAGTCATTTGGCAGGATCCCAGTCGGGCGACTCCCGGGGAAGCACAAACAACTCTTGGCGCTCGTCTGGGTTGGTGAACGGGAGGTTGTACGTCAGCGACACGATCTCAAAGCGGGGTAGACGTAGGTAGCCTAGACACAGAATAATAGAGAACAGCTGGTTAGTTCACTGAAAGGAATGATGCGACGAATCAGCACTGTCACATACCTGTCTTTGTTGGCACCAAACCCAACCGGAACACTTGCTCGTCGAAAGGAAGCAAGTCCTCCGTCGCATTCGTTCGACCAGAGATGAAGAACGCTCCCTCCGCATCCACAGGCTTCACGCGTAGACTGTGGAAAACAGCCTCGTTGTTCTTTACCCTCACGTCCATGTAGACAACTACTCCCTCAACACCAAACGACGGGGTCTCCACGCTGAAAGTGAGCGGGGCATCCACGAATGAAACCATCGGGATCTCCAGCCACGTGCTCACGACATCGTTGTGAGAACCATCCGGGGTATTGATAATGGTGGAGGATTCGCGTCTCCAAAGCACCTTGACACGACCCAGTGTCACAAAGTTAGACGCCACCTTCGGCACTAACCGCAGGCAGAAACACCGAGAATCACCGTCGTTGAAGGTCGCACACACGTCCTCACTGCTTTCAGTAGATACCGGACCAAACCCCGAAACAGCCAAATCTTCGATCATGTTCGTCTCATGCGCCTCAAACTCTAGTGCAAGCACCCTTAATGACTCGCCTGATGTACAAGTGACGCTGCCTTGAAAGCTCACCGAGTTACCCACACAGCCGTACGTACCCTTTGGCATTTGAGCGGCTCCAGGCACGCCACCACCGCTGAGGAAGTCGTGCATCAAACCTCCTTGTATGTCGAACGGATCGTGACAGATCAACTCAAATCGTTCGTCAAAACTCACCGCCACTCCAGCTTTTGTCGTGTATGTGACGGACACAATTAGAGTCACAGGGGTTGCCCTCATTGAGCGCACAATTACCCGCAAGGTTTCCTCGGTTCCTGGGTCTTTATTGGGAAGCGGGATGACGTCCCGAGGTTGTAAATTTGCATCCAATACCACGGGTATTAACACACCTGCTTGCTCTGTAAAGAAGAACGCCTCATTTGGTGATACTGATGCCGGCGGGGGCTCGCATGCAACTTGGAAGGTCGTATTCTCCAGCTTATCTTCATTGGCAGACAACTTGAGCGCAAGCTCGCGGTAATCCCCAGTCAAAAGTGGCTCGCGTGAGAGCATTGACAGTTTAGCCTTCGCACGAGGCTGCAGAATCATCAATGACGAGCCTCGGAGATGCGCCGTACCGTCCTCTTGAATCGGTTCTGCTGCGTCCGCTTGGCCAGGTCGCAGACCCTCGACAAGTGAGAACATAGACTTTCTCCTCGAGAAACTTGGAGATGCAGATCCATTGCCCATGGCAGGCACACGTCCATTAATCAAATACGGCAATGGCGTTTCCCGCTGCTCGACAGACGCTCGTTCCACCAGCAGGCTGAAGATCAAGAACTCTTCCTCTGGCTTCGCTCCGTCTGCAAGCACACCATTAGCTTCGGCGCTGTGGTCTCCGCTCAAATAGAACCGCACTTCCTGAATCGAAAGCATCTGTCGACCGTCCAGCACACGCAACGGAACGCGGAGCTTTTTAACCATTTTGTGAGTAAATTCCAGCGAAGTAAATAGCTTTCCATCAGCAGAAGCCAACGATCCAGCATCCACGTCGGCTTGGTGGGAGATCACAGTGCGATAGCGCTCGTCATTGAACACCAACTCAATCTTCGACATCACAAGCGGTGATGGGAAATGGGGTCGCAACTCCAGCTCGAGCGTCACCTCTTCCTTCACACAAGCACATGCACGATCGAATTGTGCTGTTAACGCAAACACTGGGCGCGACCGATCCAACGCAACTTCGTGGCCGTTTCCAAGCGCCGAGTTCTCCGTAAATGGAGCCCCAAGTGCTACTGGGCTCCTCCACGCTGTTAAAAACGAATCCTGGATACGTCCGCGCTCCTTAGCAGACACAAATTCCTCCACAACTGGCGATAATAACTGCAGCGAATAATCCAGATACGCTGCAGTATCTCCTTGGCGGAAGGTGCAGATCAGCAATTGTTTTAGAATCTGAGCCGTCTGAGCCCAACAGTTCTCAGTAGCAAACGTTGCTTTCGCCTTTTGTAGCTCTGCTCGTGATCGCTCATACTCGCCACACGCAAGTCTTTCCGCGCCCAAATGAACAAGTAGTCGGCTTTTCATTCGACTGCGTGGGGCATTGTGGTCAGCAACATACATCGTTAGATGCTGAATCGCGTGTTCTAAAAGAACAATAGACCGCTTTGCATGTGGCACAGTCCTCTCCATTGCATGTCGGTACTTCACGAGCGCTGCTATGGAAGGGTCTTGTGATGCGGAAATGGCGTCAGATACCACGGGATCGCCTCCAACATAAACAGACGGGACCACAACAAAGTCGCGTTCCGATAAAGCCTCGCCATTGGGAGTTGCTGTGGGTGCCACTGTCGTAGCCGTAAGTCCAAGCTTCGCAACCGCCTTCCTCCGAAACATCGCGTACTTTGCTGCAATGGAGTAATATAAATACGGCTCCTTATACACGTCCGAATCCAAGCCAGTGCTGGCTAACGAGCCTCGAATGGAAGTAGCTTCAGCCAGTAATTGAGCGAAGACATGGTACTGTCGAGAAACCCACTCCCAGTGTTCGTACGCTCGATCCGCCACAATTATAGCGCGCGAGTATACGCCCATGTGACGCTGTAATTGGTCCACTGCACCCTTGATATTGTTCGACGAGAAGATCAAGTGATAGCACAGCTTGAAGTTCACAAACTCGGCCATTGTCATGACCTGCGTGTACGCGATCCCATCAACTGCCTCGTTCTCGTGAAGTGGCAACGCGATAATGGCCCTGTACGACGCTTCGTAGTGCTGCAAAACCTTGGTCGTATAGCGGCGGAACTCGTAGTAATGAGCGATCTTGAAGCTCAATCTCGCGTGTAATGCCTGGTAGCCGGGCGTCTTTGCAAGCGCCTTCTTATACCGTTTCACTCGCTTCGATTGAGCCTTGTAGTACTCGAGCGCCATATTGCGCATCGACGACTCCAACTTCACCAGCATAGCAGATCCACGCACGAGGTCTCTGGATCTCAAGAGCACAAGCCCCTTTGCATCAGAGTCCAGTCTCCTTCGAAGGTTAGTCAGGCGCTCCTCCGTCGTATTCATGGGCGCCACCCCAGCATCGTCAACTTGCTGCAGTAGAATCAGCATTACGCGACATTCTCTTGCTGATAAAAGCCAATTACCTAGTTAAACACCTCCATCTTCAATACTAAACCGAGGAAACGCACCTGATAGCGTGCGTTTGAGTTTCTCGACCTCCTCGCGGAGTGCCGTCTCCCTCTGCTGCCAGTCTGGAGGACTCCACCGTGGATCAAACTCGTCAAACAGCAGCACGACCGCCGGTAGAAGCTCGTGGTGCTTCTTAAGCCATCGCGCTTTGAGAATGCCCTGCGCGCGGTATCCCTCGAAGTCGCGCTGCGTCTGGTTGGGGAAAGTTCCGTGTTTCTCGCGTAGTTCCTTCTTCGCAGGAAACCTGTGCTCGCGGGGCAGCGACGTGAAGTGTAGCTTGGGCACGAACTCCTCGTTGGCCACGCGCACCAGTGGGAGAACTTTGCTCTGCAATTCGCGCGAGCCCAACGCCGCAATCAGCGGGTACGGCGTTTCCTTGAGCTCCGTGCCGAAGCTCTCCATGGTGCGCTTTTTGCCTCCCCTTCCTGAGTCAAACTAAAATATCGCTATTGCTACCGGTTTCCATGAAACCGGTAGCAAGCGGTGTACTTCCGATTTACCGGAAAGACGTCGGCTCTTCCTACCCCTAAAAAAGGGGTCGAGCGTACCTTTCCCACCTTAGAGACAGCGATGATGTACTATGAAAATGATGTACTCCTAAAAAGAGGGTCGAGCGTACCCCTAGCCACCCTTATAGACAGCGATGATGTACTATATATATGATGTACTATTTAGTACATCATCGCTGTCTCTAAGGGTGGCTAGGGGTACGCTCGACCCCTTTTTAGGGGTAGGAAGAGCGGACGTTGAAACATAGACGCAACACCCCGTCCGCTGTCGGCACACTTAACCTCAGCTGAGGTTTTTCACTCGCGAACTTTCCGTGAGGAATTGAAGTGATGGCGCGGAAATGGTTCCAGCTGGTTGGCGAAGATGGGAACGCGGTGACGTCGGCGACCTCTGTTGTCGTGGATGTTGAGGATGTTGGATTTGGACCGTGCGGCTGGAGCAGCTGCGGCTCACAGCGGTAGAAAAGACCGGTTCGGCCGCCGACTATACGGACGCACAGGAGAGGTGGCACGGGTGGCTGCCACAGGAAGATGATTAACGGAGCAAATATCACTTCTACATTCTCACAGTATAATCTCTGTCTAACAGGTTATGGGTCCAATGGCTCATACTGTTGCCACGGACGAAGTCCAAGGCAAGCCGGAAGCAGAGCCTAGTCGCGAAAGGGCAGCAGCCAGTACGGCGAAGATGATGAAGTCAAGAAGGCGGACGACGAACCGAAAGGGACGCAGGACAAGCTACTAGACCTACTCAAGGACCTCGCAGTGCGCATGGGACGCCTGGAGGAGTCGCAGGAGCGACAGGAGGAGAAAGAGTGCAAGGGTCGCGAGAGCAGCGTTTTCGGGTCGTCGCTGGGCCTGGGCAGAGCCATGGACAGGCAGGATCTGGACCAGACGCCGACGCGGCGCATGTCGCCTGCCGTCTCGCCGGCCACGTACTTCCGGATGAAGAAACGTGAGTACCGAGATGCAGCAGCGAACGTCGAGATGGCTCAGGCGCCACAGCCGGCGCTGCCGCAGCACTATGTGCCGCCGCAAGCGTATCGAGCGCCACCGCCACCGTCGCCAGGACCGGGATTCGCTGGGGTACCTGACACCCGGCAGAGGAAGCTGGGGATCCGGCCGTTCGACGGAAAGGAGCTGTACCATGGGCTAGGGAGCGTTTTCCTGGCGTGGGGCAAGCGCTTTTTTGTGCGCCAGATACAGTTCGCCGAGCGTGCTAGTGGGTTCCAGTGGACCGAGGACGTCAAGGTTGACATCCTCGGTCACCATCTTAGCGGAATGGCCGAGAGGTACTACAACCAGCAAGTTGAAGGCTGGTGGGAAGAACAGCCGACGCTCGAGCATGCGATGCAGCGGATGCTGCACACCTTCGCCACGAAGACCACATCCGCACAGAGCATGAAGATGTTCACGGCACCGAAGAGCTCCAAGAGGAGCTGGACAGAGCACTACCTGTACCTCGTGGCAGTTAGCGAGGCGTGCGGCGGTGCGGACAACCTGGTCCTAGACAACATCGTGCACTACGCGGATTCGAGCATGCGAGTGTCGATGATGTCCAGGCTAAGCTTGGCACGCACGGACTACCTGCGCCAAGCGGAAGAGCTGGCGCACTTCGCCCAGTCGACGGAGATCGAGCTGCGAGGCAAGCAACTGGGGCGAGACGTGGTCAATGATGTGCACGAGGACGAGAAGGACGACCGCAAGTGCTACAAGTGTGGTAAATCTGGTCACTTGCGGGCGGCCTGTCCGAACAAGAAGAAGAGGTGGGGCGAAGGCGCGGACGCTGACTTCGTGCTCACGGTCGAGGAGTCGGCCACAGAGACGGAGGACTGGATCCTGGGCAGTGGATCCAGCGTCATCTGGTGAATGATCCGGAGCTGCTGGAAGACGCGGAAAGCTACTACGAAAGTCAATGCGTGGCAGCGGACGGAGGAGCGCTAAAAGTAACTAAGCGCGGGAGCGTGATGCTCGTGACCACGGCGATGGGGAAGATGACCAAAGTGCGGCTGCTGAACGTGCAGTACGCTGAAAACTTGGAAAAGAGCATCATATCGTACGGGTTGCTGGAGGCGAAGGGGTACGGACTCGCGTACCAAGGGAAGCACCGCGTGGTAGCCGCCATCAACGGCGGGCCGGTGGTGTTTGACGTCGAAAAGACAAACAACGTTCTCACCGTGCGTGCAATGGAGTCCAGAGGCACGGGGCGGAAGGGCAATGTGCTGATGCCGGTGTTGGCGGAAGGTGAGGCGGATGTCGGCAAGGACGTGCAGACCGGGCCGCTCATGCATTTCCACCGTAGGTTAGGGCATCTGAGCTACGATACGATCATTAAGATGGCCAAGGACCCGGCATCCGGGATTGCACTCACGGACGAGGTGAGGTCGAACTGCTTGGCTTGTGCCCAGGGCAAACAGACAAGAAGAAGCAGTCGCGCAAGGACACGGGGGCAAACTCGCCCGTTGACGTGATCGGAGGAATCATCTGCTCCGACCTGAAGGGGCCGATGCCTCCAAGAGATCGACTAGGAAACCGATACATGGTCAACTTTGTTGATCATCGCACCAACTACAGCAGGGTCTTCTTGACGAAGACTAAGGACGTCGCGGCACAGAGGTTTAAGCATTTCATGGTGTACTTTGAGCGGCAGTTCAACTGCCGTATACACGTGTTGAGGACGGACGGTGGTGGGGAATACAAGACCCTGGGTCTCTTCTGCAAAGAGGCCGGAATCAGGCGACAGATTAGCGAGCCGCGAAACCAGGCTAGTAACGGCAAGGCGGAGCGAATGCACCTCACCGTTATGAATATGGTGTGGAGCATGGTGCTCGCCTGTGGCCTTCCGCTTAGTTTCTGGGGGGATGCTGCGGAATATGCAGCCTATATCCTAAACAGGACCCCGACGAAGGCTAACCCAGGGTCGAAGTCGCCACTGCAGATGCTCACGAAGCGTACACCGGATTTGAGCGACATCGTGGTGTTCGTACGGTGCACGTGGACGCGAAAAACAAGTCCCTGGGTGAGCGGGGCAAGGCGGGCATGATCGTGGGAAAGAACGACGAGATTAAAGGCTACCGGGTGTATCTCCCGAAGGATAAGGTAGTCATAGTGACGCAGCATACAGACCACGGACGTGGTGAACAGCGTACGGGAGCCCGACCCGAAGAACTACCGGCAGTCAAAGAGGAGCAAGCTCTGGAGGAAATGGCTTGTTGCCATCGCGGAGGAGCTCAATGCGCTGGAGGAGAACGGCGTGGGGGTCGTGGTGGTGCCACCGATCGGCAGCCACGTACTGCACACCAAGTGGGTATTCAAGACCAAGACTGATGCAGACTGAGGCATAGAAAGGTTCAAGGCCAGGCTCGTTGCGTGCGGCAACGAGCAGGCTTTGGCGTGGACTTCGGGCTCACGTTCGCGGCGGTCATGGACCTGAGTACGGTGAAGGTCATCCTGGGTTTTGCGCGTCGCTGGGGCGTGCCGGCGAGGCACGGGGACATCTTTAACGCGTACGTGAAGGCCGACAAGGAGCAGCATCTCGAGATCTACCTGGCGACCCCACAGAGAATGGTGATCGGAGATGAGGTGATGCGCAGGCTCGGAGTGAGCGTCAAGGGTAAGCTGGTGCTGCGCTTGAGGAAGTCGCTGTACGGCGTACGCCAAGCAGGCAGGCTGTGGAGTCAACTCCTGCACGCGAAGCTGGAGGAGGCGGGGTTCACACGGTGCGTGACGGACATTTGCCTATACTTCAAGCGAGAGGACGGCGAGATGACGCTCGTGGGCGTGTACGTGGATGATCTCCTGGTCACCGCTTCCAAGCCGAGTCTGGTGGACGACTTCTTCTGCTCCATGAGCGTGTTGTCCGTGAAAGACTTGGGCAAGGTGAGGAAATTCTTGGGGATGCGCGTGGAGCTGGACAACAGCGAGGGGTACTCGCTGGACCAGCAGGCGACGATCGAGGAGCTGCTGGAGCAGCATGGACTGGCGAGCGCGAGCAGTGTGCGGGTTCCAATTGGTGAGAAGAGCAACGATGCGGAGGTTGACGAGCCGCAGTTGTTGGCCAAGGTGGGTGCGCCGGGTGAGCCAACGATCCGCCGTTTATAGTCGCTCGTGGGAAGTTTGCTTTGGATAGCACGGTGCACGAGACCCGACATTAGTTTCACTGTGCATAAGGCGACGAGGAGGACACACCAGCCGACCACGAGTGACTGGAACCTGGCCAAGAGGGTCGCAAGGTATATGAAGGGCACAAAGAGCATCAAGCTCATCATGCAGGCGCCGACGAGGAAGGACGACGTGGTGACTTTGGAGAGCTGAAGCGACGCAGACTTCGCCGCCGACAAGAGCGACAGGAAGTCGGTGACTGGAGGAGTCGTGACGATGGACGGGGCTGTGGTGCAGTGTATCTGCAAGAAGCAGACCGGCGTGTCGCTCTCCACGATGGAGGCCGAGTTTACGTCAGCGTCGCACGTGGGGCGCGAGCTGCTGGTACTTCGGGAACTGGTGCGTGAGCTGGGTTTTCGGGTAGTGGAGCCAGTGCCCATGAGGATGGACAACCAGGCGGCGATTAAACAGCTAGAATCCGAGGAGAGCATGGCGAGTGCGAAGCACGTGGACATTCGCGTGAAGTTCATCTGTAATTTTGCCAGAAAGGGATAGTGAAGCCCGAGTACGTGGAGTCACGCCTGATGATGGTGGATCTTCTCACGAAGGCGTTGCCGGCGCCGAGGATCGCGGAACAGCGGGAGATCTTCAAGCTGAAGTGACGAGTTCTGGCGAGAGTGCGACGACCGAGGAGGAGTGTTGGATTTGGACCGTGCGGCTGGAGCAGCTGTGGTTCACAGCGGTAGAAAAGACCGGTTCGGCCGCCGACTATACGGACGCACAGGAGAGGTGGCACGGGTTGCTGCCACAGGAAG